TCACCTAAGGTCAAGAGCTTGAGACCAGCCTGGCCAACATGGTGAAACCCCGTCTCCACTAAAAATACAAAATTAGCTGGATGTGGTGGCACATGCCTGTAATCCCAGCTACTTGGGAGGCTGAGGCAGGAAAATCACTTGAACCTGGGAAGTAGAAGTTGCAGTGAGCTAAGATGGTACCACTGCCCTCCAGACTGGGTGACAGAGATGGACTCTGTCTCCAAAAAAAAAAAAAAAAAAATTGAAGAATTTGGAGGGCAGACAGGAAAAAGTCAAGTTATGTGGAGAAGGGGAAAAAGCTTACTTTAAACTCATAGCTGCATTCAACACTAGAAGGCAATAGTCTAATGTTTAAAGACCTCAGAAGAAGAAAGATTAACCCAAGAATTTTAAATCCAGCTATATCTGAGGAATAAAGTCATACTTTCTAACATGCAAGAACTCCATGACAGTGCCACCTTAAGACAAAACATGACTTAAAACCTATGATGAGTATTTAATTAAATATGACACTAAAATTAGGCAATTATGAGTATTATGAATAGAACACAGTGTAAATGTTACAAACCCTGAAAATACAGAAATTATATTATTAAAATAAAAATCAGGAGTAGAACATATGAAAACATGGAACAAAATAATAGCAGGTTAATTCCTTTCTTTAATAGGAAATAAGTAGATATTTTCAAACCAAGAAACATAGCTACAAGAATACTAGAGTTACGAGTTTGACTAAGAACAAACTGCAATTCTTTCAAAACATGAGCAATGCTATGTCCTTTTTAAAAATACAAAGAAATGAAAGAAAATAAAACATTTAAAAGAATAAGTTTGATAACATGAATTAGATAACAGAGTTAAGACCAACCACCTTTGTCTTATGAATATGGAAATGTGATCATTGTATCAAAGAAATTGATTTGTAATGTAAAAACAAAACCCAAGCATATATTATATGCAAGAAATAATTCTAAAACAAAGTAGCCTAAGAGGTGATAAAATGACAAAGCAAACAAATAAGAACAATAATCATCACATTAATATCAAACAAGTCTAATTTGGCTAAAATGATATATTAAATCAGACCCAGAAAATGACTCTACAATTATAGAGAATACAATCTGCAACAAATATTGGGTATCAATTTCTGTACATCAGATCCTGTACTTTAAAAATTTATAAATCAGTGAAAATTAAGTATTATATGAGGTGATAGAAGATTTATTTAATATTCAATAACTGGCTAAACACCCTATCCTGATGATAAAGAATATATCTTCTTTCCTTTTGAAAGGTCCATGGAATACTTATTTAAAAAAGAGGGGGAAAAAGACCATATTAGCTCACAAAGAAAATCTCAATAAACTCCAGAAAGTAGTAAATTCCAGAAACTACATATATCACGTTGTTGTATTAAAATGCAATGCACAGTAAAATGTCACTATTAATAGCAAAATCAGAAAAAGTAAAATCTACCATCTAGATATTTTTTTAATATTTTAAAAATTCCTGCATTAAAGAAGAAATCAGAACTGAAATAATAAACTATATGCAACATATTGTAATGAAAAGAATATATCAGAACCTATAGAACATGATTAAAGCACTGAAGAAAATTCATAGCCTTGAACGTTTAAATTTCTGAGTAGAAAAAACAGAAAATACATAAACATTTAATTTAAGAATTTAGATAAGCGAAAACATGCCTAAGTAAAGCAGAAATGTATATATTAGAAAACAAAAAAACTGAGCTGGTAATTAAAGAGCTTTTTTTTTTAATGCCAAGGAACAGAAAACAGAATTGTCCTGGAATAAGATAGAAAATTTAAACAGATAAATTATCATAGTAAAATTTTAAACAGTTTCAAAGGAATAATCCAATTTAAGAAACCTATCAATACAAGATAGTTTCACAGATAAATCTTTCTCACTTTCAAAGAATGAATAATTACAAGCTACTTAGATGGTCCTGAGGCACACAAAAATTAAAACTAGAAGGATCTTTTTCTTAATATGATAACAATTATGTATCTCAAGCCAAAGATTAGATTTGCACCAAAATAGCTTCCAGAAAGGCTGAAAAAATGGTAATTTAGAATTTTTCTGGTAGTATGTTTTAGTAAGAAGAAGACAGTTTGAAACAACTCTAAAAGTTGAGCAACTCAACACATAATAGCTTATTTTAATTCAAGTTACATGTCCAACATGAATTGGCAACTGACCCAGGCTCATAGAGGCTTTACCATTTTGTACCTGTACTGCCTGAATCACATAAGCTATTTGGTGCCGATAGCAAGGGAAGTGATACATGGGCATTTCATGCCTGCTCTTGATATGTTATCCTGGAAGAAGCTTATACTACTTCTACTAACAGCCTATAGGACACATCTAGTCATATGGTTCCCTACTATATGGAAGCTGGAAAATGTGGAGCACATGGCTATTCCGTGAGCAGTAAATGCCTTTACCGCATAGTACTAGCCAATGGATAATAGTCAAGAGAAAGAAAACGATACAATTACAAAAATTGCAAAGAAGGAGATAAAATTAAAGCATGCAAAAGCTATGCTATAAAAGAAATCAAGAGGTGAGATAGACTAAAATTAGAAAAGATGTTTATTTGAACAACATGAGCCACAAGTTTGATCTAATAAGAAAAATAAATTTTAAAACAAACATTACTAGAGATAACTGTATTATTACTTAATGATAAAAAGAACATTCCTAAGCATGATAGAATAAGCCCAACTCAAGGGCTCACGCCTGTAATCCCAGCACTTTGGGAGGCCGAGGCGGTTAGATCACGAGGTCAGCAGATCAAGACCAGCCTGGCCAACATGGTGAAACCCTGTCTTTACTAAAAATACAAAAATTAGCTGTGTGTAGTGGCACGCACCTGTGGTCCCAGCTACTCAGAAAGCTGAGGCAGGAGAATCCTTGAACCCAGGAGGCGGAGGTTGCAGTGAGCCAAGATTGAGCCATTGTACTTCAGCCTGGTGACAGAGTGAGACTCGGTCTCAAACAAAAAAGAAACAAATAAAAACCCAAATGGACCATGCTCTACCAGAAACTGAGGTTAGCTAAAGGTCATTAATAAAATTACAGCAAACACAGCATCAGATTTGGGTTTTTAAGTATAGCATCCAATCAACTGAATCAAGTCTAAAGGTAGATCAGACTCTCCAGGGCGGCTTTCAGACAAGAAACAGAGATAAAGAGAGATATTTAATACTAGCAAATATGTCAAACTATCTGGAGGAGGTAACAATTCTAAATGTGTAAGCACTTCATAAAATAACTTGAAGAATAAAATATTAAAGAGGAGAAATTAATAAAAGAGAAATGAACATACAATAGAGAAAAATCAACAAAGCCAAAAGATTCTTTGAAAGGGGTTATTCAACTGATGATTCCCTCTAGAGACTGATGAAGAAAAAAAGAGAGAATGATAAAGAGAAGACAGTTATTAATAAGTGAAAAAATAAAAATCATTACTATGGATCTCAAAGATATTAAAAAATAAATGAGGACCTTGTAAATAATGTTGTGTCAATAGACTTGGAAATATTGATAAACAAATTTTTAAAACATACAATATATCAAAGCTGGCACAAGAAGAAATAAAGTATCTAAATAATCTCCTATCAGTTTTAAAAATCAAATATGTAAGTTGCCCCTCCCAAGAGAAAATTTCAAGCTTAAATATCTTTACCAGTAAAATCTTCCAAACATTTAAAGAAGAAATAACATCAATCTTAAACAAACATCACAAGAATAGAAAAAGAGGAGCTTGCTTACAACACCAATATGATTTTGTTACTAAAATTCATCAAGAAAATAAATTGGTCCATCTTTCTCATGAACACAAATGCTAAAAAGCACAGCAAATGTATAAGTCAAATTCAAGAATATATAAAAAAGGTAACACATCACGGCCAAGTTGTAATGCACAGCTGATTTTGCATTCGTAACCATCAATGTAATTTACCACATTGACAATCAAAGTAAATAATCATATGATCATATTAATAGAGGCAATTAAGATAGTTACTGAAACAGCATCCATTCGTTTTTAAAAAATGCAAAAATCTTAGCAAATTAGAAATATAAGGAAAGGTATTTAATCTGATAAACAGTATTTACCTAAAAAACTTACAAAAATACCATATTTAATACTGAAATATTAAGAGCTTTTTCTGTGAGACTAAGACAGGATGTGTGATATTACCATTTCTCTTGAGTATCATGTTTGAGTTCCTCGTCAGTGTAATAAGTGAGGGAAAAGGACATTTAAGTTTTAAAAATAATGAATACAACTACCATTATGATTGTGTATGCATGAAATCTAAAAGAACCTAAACTATGAGAATCAATAAGTAAATTCAGCAATTTTAGTAGATATTAAAAGGTCAGCAAGGCCAGGAACGGTGGCTCATGCCTGTAATCCTAGCACTTTGGGAGGCCAAGGTGAGCAGATCACTTGAGGTCAGGAGTTCAAGACCAGCCTGACCAACATGGTGAAACCCCATCTCTACTAAATATACAAAAATTAGCTGAGCGTGGTGGCAGATGCCTGTAATCCCAGCTACTCGGGAGGCTGTGGCAGAAGAATCGCTTGAACTGGGAAGTGGAGGTTGCAATGAGCCAAGATCATGCCACTGCACCCCAGCCTGGGGGATAAGAGGGAAACTCCATCTCAAAAAAATAAAAATGAAGGTCAATAAAACAAAAAACTATTATATTTCTACATACCAATATCCATTTAGAAAAAAATCTGATAATGTCACTTACAATCTCATGAAAAACATATCAATAACCTCAGGATAAACCTAACAAAAGATGTACTTGTACTTTCTGCAGACAAAGCTCCAGAAAAGGACTGAAAGAATGTCAAATTGACCTAAAGAAATGATGGTATATTTTATGTTTATGGATTGGGAGACTCAACCTTTTCTAATTTATACAAATTAATTTATAAATCCAGTGTAATCCCAGTTATTAAAAGTCTGCTAGGCTTTTGGGAGAGAGGGGGCAGGAATTGACAAGGTGATTTCCAAATGTCTGGAAAAATTCAAAGAGCCAAAAATAGCCACAACAATTTTGAGGAACAGCATTTTATGACTTACACTACCAGTTAATAAGAGTTTTATAAAACAGCAATAATCAGAACAGCGTCCTATTGGCATGAGGAGAGCCAAAATAGAATAATGAGCAAGAAAATAGTTTCCGAGAACAGACTTACATGGCTTTTTGTTTTATAACAAAGGTGAAATGGCACGGTACCGTGGGAAAAAATGAACTTTCAATCAATAGGGCTGGGTCAATTCCCTATATTTACATTAAAAGTGAATAGAAACATTCATACTCTACACAAAAATCAACTGCAATGTTATTATAAATATAAACTAAATGGTAAAAAAAAATAAATAAAGTTTCTAGAAGATAACCTGGGAGAACATCTTTATGACTTTGGAGTGGACAAAATTTCTTAAAAGGGATGCAAAAATCTCTAACCGTAAAGGAAAAAGTTGATAAACTGAACTGTGTCAAAATTAGAACAGTTGTTCCTCAAAAGGCACTGTCGGTGAGCAAGGAAGCAAGCTACGGACCGAGGGAAGGCGTCTGCAATACACATATCCAACGAAGGGTTTATATTCACAGTTTAAAATAACTACAAAACAGGAAAAGAAAGACTTAAGAGAAAAATGAGGAAAGATTTGAACAGAGATTGCACATAAAAAGGATATCTACATCACCAACTAGACTATGAAAAAATGCTCAGTCTCAAATTCACCAGACATAAAAATTAAAACCACATTGAGATAATGCTAGCAGAATGGCCGGATTTTACTAGATGCCATCAGTATCTGCAAGAATTTCAGAACAATGATAGCTCTCATACGTTGGTTGGCGGGGGTGGTGTGAATTGACACAACCACGTTGGAAAATAATTTGGTTGTACTTGCTAAACTGAAAATATCCATTCCTTATGAGCCAGGAATTCCACTCCCAGCTATATACCCAATAGAATTGTATGCGCATATGCCCCAAGAAATGTATACAAGAATGTTCATAGCAGCACTATTTGTTTTAGCACCAAAAGTAGGTAAAGACTGTGTTCCCTTTGAAGTTCTCCTCCTGGACTTAGTCGGATTAATCTCTATTCACCCCTGTAACCCCTGTATGGCTTTCTTGCCTCAGGATGCAGTGGGTCACATGTGACATAACACACCTAAAGTGATGTAAAATTTGTAGATATAAAATTAAATGCCCCCTTAGGAAGACCAAGGTATGGGCCCAGAGAGAAACGGTGGGGGAAATTTTTGAAAGAAACTGGCACTCCTCGTGGCAGCTAATGTCTTAGAAACCTCTGTTGACCAGTATACCAGGATGGAAACTTGACTTTTAGAAAATTCTAAGAGCTATACATTCACATAGTAATTTAAAAAAAAATCAAACAGTACAGAAATACATAAAATTAAATGTCTTTTTCCCACCTATTGCTCTTCAAGCATAATCAATATTTTTGTGTGTACTTTCCAGAAAAAGAAGAAAGTATACTTAAAAGAGTTGATGTACACATGTATCCTATTTTTTATATCTACCCAATGGGATAATACTACAAAACCAATCTATATCTTACTTTTTTCCTCTTCACATCAAACAGGGTGGTCTTGCCTTCTTAGTATATCCCGATTTACCTTATTTTTTAATGATTGCCTGTCATTGCACAGATGAAGCAGAATATTCTTAAACAGTTCCCGTAGCATGGTTTTTAAGTTTTGTGCCCAGTGTTTAGGCAATAACGAATGCTACAATAAACGTTCTTATAGAACTCTCTTCAGATACTTCCTTCAGGGTAATTTCCCACTAGCAGAAACGTGGGGTCAAGGGTATGTGATTTTTTAAAACCTTAACTTCTTTTTTCCTTCTTTGATCATCGGGCAGGAAACTTTGATTAGTAGTTGAATATGAGTACTCCCACTTCCTTTTTTCTAATTCACTAATGCATTCTGCTCTTTTTGAAAGTGTAGCTTCTCAGATGTGCTCCCTGGAGCTGGTGTGCAGTGTCCTGACTGTAAGATCAAGTCCAAACCGGTTATTCCTGATGAAACTTCTCTTTTGGTCTCAGCCCTTGGTGGTCCAGGTCTTCATGCTGCTGCGGGTGATATTACTGCTCCTGGGTGAGTAAACGGGCTCAACATGGGCCCTGCCTGGGTGGGGTCGAGACAGCTTCTCTCCACCGCAGGTCTGGTACTTTCCTGGGGCTCAGCCCCTGCTGATAGACTCTTTCCTACATGAAGAGGCTAGATTTTTGAACTTTACTCTGTAGCTCAGGGCTTTCTACTGAGGCAGAAGAAAATGGTCACAGCTGGAAGAAATCTTCAATCTTACAGAGTAGGAAACAATAGTAACCATGACACTTAAAATTTCATTAATTTTTTTCTTCAAAAAGTACTTCATAAAGGCTGGAAAATGTTTCATGTTTGTTTTTCATATTTTCTTATTTATAGAAGAGCCTGCTCTCCTCTCTGCAGAGGAGATGTATTTACTCCTTGTATGACAAGGCCAGATCCTTGAGAGGGCAAGGTTTCTAACACGAAAGACACCTGTTTCTTTTGGACACAATTGCAAACCACTGCAGCGATTGGCTGATTAAGAAATGGAGAGGGGGAGGTTGGAGAGGGGTAGGTGAGCAAAGCAAGGACAAATCTAAAGCATATGACTTTCTCTTGGTGCCTGTGGGTATGGATAAGTCTCTATCAGTTCATAGGTGCCAACTGGTTGGTTTTTACTAAAGTTTAAATATTAGAATGAAATATGTTTATTTATTCGTTCAGCAAATGTGTTTAGTAATAGCTATGCACAGTATTGTACCAGGTGCTGAACAGTAAGTCCACAGGAGGCACCATGTCTATGCTCAGGAAGGTCATGACATAGAAGGGCTCCCCACAAGGCCAGTGTGCTTTCAAACAGCTATGCAACAAGATCCCAGTTAAATAATTGTCCAGGAAAAGTTACCAATGAATGCTGTAGGCAGACAATAAACTACAAGCAAAATAGCTAGTAAAGACTTCATGAAACTTAGAGGCAAGTTAGGAGCTAGAGGAGCAGAAATGGAGCAGGCATGATATAAGAAAAGAGGACCCCAAAGTTGTAAGGTGCATAGACTCTAATTCCTGAGGTAGGAACACATCTCACTGTGGCACCAATATAATATGAGCATTAGCCAGGTCCTTTCAATGAGAGGGCAGAGTTTACAACATGGGCTCTGGGGTCAAACAGGATCTAGGTTCAAAACTTCATTCTGCCACCTGCTAGCTCCCAGATTCCTGGCCTATAAAATGGGGTTAATCCTAGTACTTACCTCATAGGGTTATTGACAAGGTTATATAAAATAACCCATGTAAACGCATACCATATAGAAAGCACTCACAAAAATATTAGCTTCATTTAAAACAATACAAAGACTAAGGAAATCAAAATATTCAGGTGAATGGTGAATCATTTGTTGTTCTCAGTAAAACACTTAAGTTTGGGTAAGTCTCCAACAGCCTCATGTGGACAGGGATGATGTGTCTCTCACTCACTGCTGGATTTCTATTGCCTTGCCCTGGAGTATGACTGGCATTCCAAAAATCTCTGTTGAATAAATAAATCAAACATGAATCTTATGCAGAATATCTACTCAATTTATAAACCTGCCAGTTTTCTGTCCTCTCTTCATTACCCAGCTCTCAAATCTCTATCCTTCTATCTCCGTATTACTAACCTAGTTCTTTAATTAATTCATTACACAACAAAAATATATTTAGGGAATATTAAAGGAATATCTTTTATATACCAGGCACTGTTACAGGTCCTAGAGGATATATGGTGAACACAAGAAAAGTCCTAGATCTCACAGAGCTTGCATTCTAGAGACAGGAAAATAAACTGATAATGAAGATCATTTTTTAGAAATACTCTGAAAAAAAAATTAAACATTACCATCTCTTGGGCAGAGCATCAGATCTAAACGACCTGAGCCTCAGTTGATTGTTCAAAAATTAGGCATGGGCCAGGCGCGGTGGCTCACGCCTTTAATCCCAGCACTTTGGGAGGCCGAGGCAGGTAGATCACGAGGACAGGAGTTTGAGACCAGCCTGACCAACATGGTGAAACCTTGTCTCTACTAAAAATACAAAACTTAGCTGAGTGTGGTGGCACACGCCTGTAATCCCAGCTACTCAGGAGGCTGAGGCAGGAGAATTGCCTGAACCTGGGAGGCGGAGGTTGCGGTGAGCCAAGATCGTGCCACTGCACTCCTGCCTGGGCGACAGAGTGAAACTTCGTCTCAAAAAAAAAAAAAGTAGGCATGATGATAACAAGCCGTTGGAGTCAATGATTTCATGAAGAGAGTATAGCTTAGACTCTGTTACTAATCTCCCTAACAGGTGGGACTACAGGAGCCTGCCATAATGCCTGGCTATTTTTGTATTTTTAGTAGAGATGGGGTTACCTCATGTTGCCCAGGCTAATCTTGAATTCCTAGGCACAAGTGATCTGCTCACCTGGGCCTCTCAAAGTAATGCATGACCATTTCCTTGCCCTGCCTTGTAATCAATCTCCCTCCTTCGTATTGTATCCCACTGGTCTGTCCTGTGACGGAGTGTTCCATCCAAGTTCAACTTCTAACCTTGTCAATCTCCTCCTTGAAACCTTTCCATGACTCCTTATAGCTTTTTAAATAAAATTAGAGCCACTTACTGGGGCTCTGTATGCCTCTCTGATCTTATTTCCCCCAACACTCCCAACTCCTGAGAACCAATGTTGTTTCTCCACCTCTGTGCCCTTTCTGCCCTGATTACCCTTCCCATCGCCTCTCACCACACACAAATGCTAACATCCACCTGCAGGCTCTTATGTTCTCACTTGCAGTTTTCTGAAGTATCATCTCCTTCAGATACCTTCCAAGATCCATCCACCCTCTTCAACATATATACACACAAACATACACTTTATACACACACACACATATCCTACACACTGGACTATGTGGCCCTTCTGCCCCCAAGATACACATGTGTATTTCTGTTATTGCACTTACACCCTGTGATAGAATTATATTACTTTACATCGTGTTTCTGTTTTTCCACCAGTCAACTTCTCAACAGCAGATACCATTTTTAACGTTTATTTTAAAAGTCCAAACACCATGCCTTAGTATTTATATATAAACATTTGATGAAAAATTATTAGATTTTTAAAAATGCATTTTTAATGGGAGAAGTAATACATGCATGTGGAAAAAAGAGAATTGTCTTAAAGCAAAAGAATCTTGGCTCTGTGCTCACCTCTGGCTCTTATTTTTTGCAGCTCCTCTCAGTGGACAGCTTGGTGAGTTCTCCTGTCTTTAGCTCTTCAGTGTCTCTGGATAAGAGTGTCTCTTCCTAATGAATAGAAAATATTTGTGATGGTTGCCTGAGATCTCTAATATCTCCTGTTTTCTTGCTGAGGTCAGCAGGGATTTCAAAGTGATGCCTGGTTTTTTGGCATTGCCCAAGGGCCAGGATAGTGCCCTGGTCACCCTCTGACCCTCCCTGGGTGAAGTGGTGAATGCACAAGCAGCTCCTGGCCTTTGCTGGGCTCTGCATTTACTGTTATTGCCAACAGACCCCATTAGCCAGGAAGGACATCTTCAACTCCATGGCAATTGTGCTGGACTCAGAATAGGATCCTATCCAATCAGCAAGCCAGAAAAACCCCTCTGAAAACATCCCACTGTGCTGATGTCAGCAGGAATGCTGCATTCTCTGCAGCTTGGGAATAAAATGCTCCAGGAAATGTATGGGGAACAGAAAATCCAACAATTGGGTTCTTGAAAAAAAAGAAAGGCACAGAAAGGGGAGATAGGGGAGAAGACAAGTTATCTGCATCCCACATTCAATTAGTTCTGGCTCTCACTGCCATTCCTTTGGCTCAGAGTGAATAATTGAGAACCTATGAAGAGCAAGAACCCTCTACAACCCCTCTCCTTGTTCAAATCAGTGGCCGCAGCTGTAACCTTGTCCTGCTCACTCCTGGATGCCAGTGTGTGACTTGTCCCTTCCTTGCTCTGCCACAATTAGCTACGATGGGATTTTTTCTGGGCATTTGAATCATCATCTACAAAATGAAGATGTTAGATAAGCTGAGCTGCCAAGGTTTTCTCAGTAACAAATCTTAAGATAATATGATTTATTCTCTTAGGGAAAGTACAAAAATATAATTTTAACACCACCTTTGGAGGTTCTGGTGAGTATTTGAACATGATGAAATGGCAGTGCAGTGGTGGTTTTCTCTGGGACCCCCTTCCATGCAAGGCTACCTGACTGTGACGTTTGATGGTGAATCCTGCTGGTGTCACCCTCCCGAAATCATTTTGCTCACTGTCATCTCCTGGGCAATTTCTCCCTTGGGTGAGGTGAGGGCCAGGCTGTGCAGCAGGAGGCCCTGAGGCTGGGCCTGCGGGCGCCTCCACCTCAGACTCCTTTTCTCTTTCCTCCTCAGCAAGGACACACAGGTCCATTATTTCCCTCCAGCCTCCATGGACCACAGTCTTCCAAGGAGACAGAGTGACTCTGACTTGCAAGGAATTTCACTTCTACTCACCGCAGAAAACAAAATGGTTCCGTTTGTACTTTGGGAAAGAAATAACAAGAGAAACCCCAGCAAATACCCTCGAGGTCCGGGAATCTGGAGAGTACAGATGCCAGGCCCGGGGCTCCTCGCTCAGTAGCCCTGTGCGCTTGGTCTTCTCTTCAGGTGAGAGAGAGTGAAAGATGCACGGCTTTAGAAATCAATTCAGCCCATGTTTCCCTCTAGCTGTTATGGCTTCAGACCCTTCGTGAGTGGATAATTTAATTTCACACTGTGTTAAGGCAGGGAGAGAGTAAAAAATTTGGAATACAACCAGACAGGGAATGGGATTGGCTGCTTAACTTTGAACATTAAAATGAAAATTTTTGAGTGGATTAATGTCTCTAAACCTGTGGTTCTTAAAGTTTGATTTGGGCAGCTTTTTCATCATACAGAAACTCAGGGCCTGCCCTATGTTTATGGAGTCAAAATCTATGGGAGTGGGGCCCAGCAATTTGTATTTTTTACAAGCTTCTCAGGTAACAGAAAGTCTGAGGAGTAATTCATTTGAATGGTTCCTGAATCTATGTATAGTTTTTCTGTTTTGTTTTTTGAGATGCAGACTCGCTCTGTCACCCAGGCTGGAGTGCAGTGTCACTATCTTGGCTCACTGCAACCTCCATCTCCCTGGTTCAAGTGATTCTCCCACCTCAGTCTCCTTAGTAGGAGTGACTACAGGAGCCCACCATAATGCCTGGCTAATTTTTGTGTTTCTAGTAGAGACGGGGTTACCCATGTTGCCCCGGCTAATCTTGAACTCCTGGGCTCAAGCTATCTGCTTGCTGGGGCCTCTTAAATTGCTGGAATTAAAAGTATGAGCCACTGCACCCGGTCTCTATATATAGTTTTAAGTCATATTATTTACTTGGAATAATACGTGGCAGAAGGGTTGTTCACTCTTATGGGTAGATCATGCACAGGTAGATAACTATACAGAGAAAGAAAGATGAAGTAAGAGACATTTCCTTTTTTGCCCTAAAGCCACTTGTTTTGAAATTGAAGTCATAGCATCCTTGAACGTAGCGGAAGCACTGTACTAGCAAGGAGTAAATAAAATGCTTAAGCTCCTTGACTTAACACAGCCTCTCTTAAGAATTTGCCTGCTGAAACAATCATAGACGTACATCCCTGAAAATGATAGACCCTAAAATGGTTTTAAAAAAATGAATACTCGGCCGGGCGCGGTGGCTCACGCCTATAATCCCAGCACTTTGGGAGGCCGAGGCAGGTGGATCATGAGGTCAAGAGATCGAGACCCTCCTGGTCAACAAAGTGAAATCTCATCTCTACTAAAAATACAAAAATTAGCTGGGCATGGTGGTGCGCGCCTGTAGTCCCAGCTACTCGGGAGGCTGAGGCAGGAGAATTGCTTGAACCCAGGAGGCGGAGGTTGCGGTGAGCCGAGATCCTGCCATTGCACTCCAGCCTGGGTAACAACAGCGAAACTCCGTCTCAAAATAAATAAATAAATAAATAAATAAATAAATAAGGAATACTCATTTAAAAAAATTATGTTACCGCCAGTGAAGAAAAACTCTGAACATTAAAAATCAGGTTCAGTAACGATACTAATGACGTAGGAAAGTGTTCATAGCATAGTAAGTGAAAGGACGGTCATCAAATCTAAAAGTACGATTTGATATTTAATAAAAAAGTACACAGGGACTCTCAATACTTGAAAGTGGAAGAGAAAACTGGAAAAACATGTGCCAAAATACAGGTGGTGAGGTGGTAGGTGACTTTACTTACATTTCTGCTTTTCAACTTTTCTCAAGGTGTATGCTTTCATTTTTAAATCAGAAAAATAAAGAAATGATCATTACTTTAAGAATTCTTTTTCCCAACCCATCTTTTAAAATAAAATCTACTTGGAAAAACAATAAAAAGGGAACGAATGAGATGAACCAAGTAACTGTGGTTGTGTTTCCCACAGCTTCGCTGATCCTGCAGGCCCCGCTTTCTGTGTTTGAAGGAGACTCCGTGGTTCTGAGGTGCCGGGCAAAGGCAGAAGTAACACTGAGTACTATTTACAAGGATGGTAATGCCCTAGCACTTCTTAATAAAAGCTCCAACTTCCATATTCATCATGCAAGTCTCAAGGACAATGGTGCATATCACTGTACTGGACATAAGGGAAGTTGTTGCCCTGTTTCTTCCAACACAGTCAAAATCCAAGTCCAAGGTAAATCCTTCATTATTTTGTGAAGTGAGTTGGTCAAAAGGAGACTCCCTGGGTTCACAGAGGTAGAAGAGGAGAAAAAGGGTGTGCCACAGGGCACATTCCTGCAAGGACCAGAGGAAGTACAGCAGTGCTTTGGGCAAAAGGAAGCTAGAGATGGATAGCATCCCTCTCTTTCCCTACTTCTGGATGTGCTGCTGCTTGAAATGTGTTTTTCTCCAAAGCAATTCATTGCTCTGGGACTATTGTGGTTCTTCTCTCTAGAGTTGTTTTCACGCCCAGTGTTGAGAGCAAGCTCCACCCAGCCCATCAGCGGGAGCCCAGTGACCCTGACCTGTGAGACCCAGCTCTCTCTAGAGAGGTCAGATGCCCAGCTCCAGTACCACTTCTTCAGAAATGGCCAGACCCTGGGATCAGGCTGGAGCAGATCCCCAAACTTTCAGATTGCTGCCATGTGGAGGGCAGACTCAGGGTTCTACTCGTGTAAGGCAGCAACAGTGACTCACAGCATCATATCTGACAGCCTGAGATCCTGGATACAGGTGCAGAGTAAGTGTTGGTGGGATCTGAGGCTTGCTGAGGATAGGGCTGGAAAAGTGGGGCAGAGCTGCATATCAGCTTGGGTCACCAGCCTCTCTAGAAAGAACTCTTACCTGTGAGAATGGGAGTTGTGCACGCAAAGAGACCCCTACTCTTGTGGACATCTTAAAAGAGCTTAGACCCAGGAAAATCCAAGGAAAGAAACGTCTATGTTATTTCTTTCAATGCCATTGAACACTACTCTTTCTTTTCTTTCTTAGGGCTCTCTTCTGTGACATCATTTTTTTTTTCTTCTAGGCCCATAGGGATAAGCTGTGGGCTGTGGCAGAGCTCTCTGACTTTGGGGTACAGAGGTATCTGTTGTCCCAATTAACATTGCTTACCGGCAATAACCAATGTGAAAATTTCTGTAGGATACAAAGACAGACAGCAACATCATAGTTACTTGGAATACGTTACTCTGGAGGCGTACCATTCCCTAGTTATGGGTTGTAAATATGCTCCCCAGATTACATCACCTCCCTTACTAGTACACAGCACCATCCTTACCGCAAAGCTACGTAGTAACTACGGTGCTGAGGGTAAAACAGCTTCTGTGGAGCCCTGTGTCACCCCTCCACTCATGGCAAACTCCAGGCTCACTTCTAAGGAGACAATGTGATCATCTCCGGACCGGGAGTCAGGACACCAACTCTGGTCCTGGCCGGCCCTGAAAACCTACACAGGCAGGTCTCCTAGTCTCTTTCTGATGCAGTTTTCTCCCCTGTAAATAAAGAAGGTCAGTCTGGGCCAAGGGAGAGAGTAGGAGCTGAAGAAAAAGCTCTAGAGGACTATGCTAATCTTTAAGGAAAAACTGTCAATGGCAAATAAATCCCTGAGGCCAATGCAAGTCAAGGGAGAAATGAACAGGGATGGAAAAGAGGACTCAGAATAATTGGGCACTCCGGGGACAACCTTCCACAGTCGTAGGGCAGAGGGAAGGAGCAAGGAGCAGGTGCAGTAAGGGTGTGTGATTCTGATGACAGCAAGGTCAGGGTGGAGACTGGAGACTGG